ATATGATAATTAACAGTTAATGATTTTAACTATTTACAGTACCAGGTACGTAGGAAATTTTGACTCAAAGTATACGTCGAAAATTAGCTATAGTAATAGAGTTAGAATTAATCGTGTAGTAATTTTAATTACTTGAATAAAAAATTTTATTTGTATTTTAAAAAAAATTTACTTTGAAAAACTAGATTATACACAAAGTTTTTATTTTTCAAATTTAAAATTAAACATTAAAAATAATTTTTCGATATAGTAAATAATTACACAAAAGCTTATTTATAATTTGTTCAAATTTATTTCTTATGTAAAAAATTGGATATTTTCACAAATACTTGTTTATCTAACAAATCTGAAATTTATTTATAAAATCTATATATTTTCGAAGATCATTTTTCCATTACGGCTAGACGTACCGAAGTCTTAGTTCGACCATATACCTATTAGTGTTTCGGGCGAAACCCGAATTTGCAGATCAAATTGGGCGAAACTAATTTCGGAGGGTTTCGGACTTATAGAGCGAAATTAAAATTCTTCTGGGCGAAATATTTCGGATTTGGAAAATAATTTCACCCGAAACACTAATACCTATATATTTCATTTACTGTGTCCTCGATTTCGTCAAAAAAGATTTCGTAGAGAGTTTTCATGGAAAGAGTTTTCGGAGAGTCTTCGTGAAGAGAACCTTTGTGGAGAAAACCTTTGTGGAGACGTGTGGGCTTTTTGAAATATCATCCAAAATTAATTGTGTTTAAACACAAATTGCTATCCATACGATACGTTTCTGTTAATATGTTTCCGTTTTAATGTCGGAAAGATAATCCAACTGGCCGTCGTTTAACGTTAAGACCAGTTGCCATTTAAACTCGATCGGAATAATTAATTATTTTTATACCGATAAAGGGAGAGCCTTTGTGGAGAGAACCGCCCTCGCGTGTAGAGACCTTCCTTATTGATCTATCTATCTATTTACGTGCAAAAAATAGAACAAATATAATAAATACAGCAATAATTCAAAATAATATGTCAAATCTTAAATACCATAATAAATGCAATCTTTTCATCGATTACCTTTAAATACAGTTACATAAACGTTTCTAGGTAACAGTTGAGAATAATCCGATTTCGAGTTAGGCTGGGTCTTCTGGATTATCGCGGGTTATCGCTATCTTCGCTTTCGGTGTTATCGTTTTATTTTGTTTCCTTGATACCGTTAAACGTTTATTTGAAAGGCCTAAAATACTAAAAAAAAAAAAAAAATAGAAAAAAGATTAGTATTAAGGTACTAAGCCTAACTAGTAAGATCAATTAACTAGTGATCTAAAATAACGTGATATACTAAGGCTTGCCCAACACCTAGTATACCTTACATCCCATGATTTCCAGTGCAACCCGTATTATTAATACAAACAAGAAAAAAAAACAGAAAAGAAAAAATACTATTAATACAAAAAAGAAAAGAAAGAAAAAAAAAAACTATTAATACAAAAACGAAAAAAATTACTATTAATACAAAAACGAAATTATTAATAAAAATTTTTGCAAAAAAAAAAAAAAAAAGGATTATAAAACAAATGATTCGTAAAAATACACATGATATAATGGAGGCAGTAAGAAATCTGGGACTTAACGTAGGGGCTGCTATCTTAGACACGAGAATTACAGACGCAGTGTAAGACTCGACCAACCAACAATTTTTTCTCACTTCTTCGAGGAAGGAACGTAACCGACCCCTTTTCCAGGATCAGAAGACCTCAAATCCGCTAAAAAAAGAGCCGTAACTTCCGAGTCGCTAGCACTGGAAGCGGCACATTAATCAATACTTACTTTACACACGTTTGACTAGTATACCCTTCGTTACAAACGACCACATTCTTATTATCTTGATTTAAATTTTCTTACGGCTTCTTCGTGTCGTGTATTTGTTTTCATTTGTCGAAGTAACCTTGTTTACTTTTAAAGTTTTAGCTTCTGACACCAACATCTGTTTTCCTAGTGTAGTAAATAAAAAAACAAGTAATTAGAGGTAAGAAAATAGTATGAAAATAGTATAAAAAGAGTATATATGTTACCCGAATGTTACCCGAATAAAAGAAAAACAAATAATTTTCGTATATATTTGTACGTATTATAATCAAAAGTTACACAAACCATGATCGACGTCTCGTATAGATGTGCTGGAACCTTCTTATATTGATATATCTGAGAAACGATAATCAGGAATAGTGAATTTTAGGAATGTCCTGAATTTTAGGTTCAATAGCAGAATTTGAACTTAAATTAGGTTCAACATTTGGATACGATTACTACTGATTGTACTGTAGCCAATAAAATCACAAGATCAAGTGTAATCAAAAAAAAAAAAAAAACATCGAAAACAGAAAAATTGTAAATAACAGATTTCACTATGCCAACTACAGGTTCAACACGGGTTTTACCTAAATATGATCTGCGTTAATAGCAAAGTTTGTCGATTCTCAATCGACACGTTATTTTCAATCTCAGTTATATTAGTATAGATAATACGATGAAAGACATTCATTGTGTAAACCAATAAAGAAGGAAAGGTGTGACAGTATACATCATTTTTCAATTTATGTCAATCGTGAATTTAAAATAACTACGTACGTACGTTACTTTTGCAATCGGTAAAAATTTAAATATGCATTTTTTGTTCAATTAAATTTCGTAAAAAAGAAAAATTGTAAAAAAAAGATATTTTTACACTGATCGCGTAAACACATCCACATATTCTTCTTGTACATAGAGAATTGTTTCTTCGACAAGAACAGTTTATTGTTAGCTTTTGTACAATGACAGCAATTAAGTCGATTTTATCGAGTCCCTTCTCTCGGGATGGCTTTTTTTTTTTTTTTGTGGAAAAAATGACATTTCTCCCCAAAGAGTTGCTAAATCGTTGATTACAGTGTATTATACAATATTAAATCAAAATTAAACTGCTTATTATAATTTATTTATAAATGCTGTATTTATTAGAAAAAAATTAATATTTTACCTGTACATAGTTTAGAAAACCTTCGGGAACTATTAGACGAATTGGTGAAGCTTTTTTGAAAGCTCTTCTGATGATACAAACTTTACGCGCGAAAATTGCATCTTTTCCACTTGTTAGATAACAATATCTTATACGAACTTTTCAGAGTTTTTTTCTTTCAGTCGCGTGGAGCAAATTATTTTATAAAAGTTTTCAACCGGACAAGTTTGTGTCTTTAAATTGTCTTCTCTCCAGCTAGCTTAATTAAACGAAGTCCTTCAGTTGCACCGATATAAAAAATTTTGAAATATGAGTACCTAATGTTTAAATTAGTGTTATGTGGAAGATTTGGATTTTTTTTTAATACATTCAAACATTCATCATAACAGCATTTATTTTTCTTTTGGCTAACGTAGGTTTTCAAAATTCAGTCAAAAGACTCACGATTCAAAATGTTATATCTTTGTGGTCTCCACGGTTATTATTAATGAAAAAATTTGTAAAAATTTATTTATTTTATTAAGTAAAATTTTTTTTCTTATGTCACATCATCATTACTGATTTTTAAAACAAATGTCAAGTGACTTAATCAATCATCATACGTTACGATAATTACAAAACAATTGCGTAGGTTTGTGAGAATAAGAGTTATCGTACCTACGAAATAAACGTTATTATTGAAGCTAAAATTATCCAATAAGATATAGTAGGTTTCGGTTTCTATCAGCTGCCGCAATCACCAATGTTTTAAAGCATGATTTAAACCAATTCAAAAACCATAAAAATGTTTTTTTACCATCCTATATATCACCACGAACCTAGCATGACCACCAAAATCAGTTACAGACGGAGTTAAAATCATTTATCGAAAATTTGATGATACAATGTATTAGCTATTTATGATGATATTTATTAATAATATTACGATGTCGTAAATATGACGATATTTGTTAGTATGACGATCCTGCTTATAATACAATAATAACAAGTGCTGCTTAAAATTTTTCTTACCAAATATCCATAAAAATTTATTAATGGAAATTAATTATTTAACCCAATCGAATCCGAAAGAATGTTCGCCTTGCCAAAAAACAAAACAGACTAATGAATTTGACAGTAGTAATATAACATGTATCGAATGCTTAACTCGTATAAATAAAGGCCAAAAATGGAAACATCAGGAGTAAAATACAAATGACATTTGTGAAATGCAAGAAAATGCTATAGAGCTTGAAGATAGATACCATTTATAAAAAACTTATGGATAGTGAAAAAGATGATTCATGAATATTGCAGAAGACGATGAATTAAGTGAAGATAATGAAATTGAATTGGAAATTATCGATCAATATAAAAAAACTCTTCAAGAGATATAGCTTATTTATTATTTTTATCGAATTAATTATACAACATAATAAATAGAAGTATTAATATCGATATTACTTCAA